ATTATGCTTCACCAGATTCCAGACGGTGTACAAGGCGATGAGGGGGTTCAGAAGCTACTGGGTGCCGTTGGAGTATTGCGCAAGTGGGAGTCCTCGGCGAGCGTGATGGAAGAACACAAAGGCACAAAGTTTGGTTTTGCCCTGTTCGACGATGCTGAGTCACTATCCAATGCTGTCAAGCTTCTATACGAGCAGGATGTGGAAGTGCCGGTTCATCGCCAAAGCGGCTCGACCGATGCCCCCCCCGAGGACGACAGTTTCGAGGGCATTGAGAAGGTGACGCTTCAGGTTGCTGTTGACCCTACCACCCTCAAGTACGCAGAGACTTTCGAAGAGAGTAGAGCAGATAATCCAGCTGCTTTCGGGAAGTTGGAGGATGCTCAGGCGGCTCTGAAGCAAGTTCTGCGCGAGCTGTTTTATCCTCCAATCAGCAACGGTACGGACGCCGATGGTGACACTGCCATGAAGAATGACGCCGACGAGAATGTTGAAGTGGTCAATATCCCCATAGCACAGGAAGATGAATTGGCTGATATTCCTGCTGAGATGCGGGAGGTTGTGGCGGGAGAAATCGCCGCATTTCGTGAGAGGAGTATTCAGCGAGATCTGGAGCGACTACGAAAGGAGGAGGAAATGGAAGAAATGGAGAGGCAGAGAAACGCTCCGCCTCGACCGTCGGGCGGAGCTAACAACATTCCTCTGGGCCCCAAGGGATCGGTGCCAAATGCGCCATCCGGACCCAGGGGCCAAAATGGACATAATCGTGTATCATTTATCAATGGCGAGTTCGGCATCAACCGAGCTGAAGAAGATTCTGACGCCAGCGATGAGGAGCTGAATCAAAGACATAAGAAAGCACAGCAGGCCCAGAATGAGAAGGCGTATGTTGATGCTGAACGCAAGTGGGCAAACCGAGAACGTTCAAGACAATCGGCACTGGACCGAGAACAAGACCGCGAGAAGCAGGAAGCTGAGACTGAGCAGCTAAAAAGGGACGAGCACCTGGACAGAGAGAAGTCGTGGGATGATGAACGAGAGGCCAGCCGCAAATCACACCCTTATTACCGCGATCATGCGACATGGGCTCGGAAACGCGGCATGGACCGAGCAGACGAGGAGAGCAAAGACGATGCGGACCGACGAGCCGAAAATGACGAGCGTCGCCGGGAGCAGGCACAAGTGGAGAGGGCCAGAGGCATGGCCGACTCGTTCTTGGATCAGCAAGCTGAAGAGATGGACCGTCGCGAAGCCGCTGCCGCTGCGGCCCCTCAGCCGTTCAAGCTGTCTCTTGGTGCGGCTGCCCAAAAAGCCCAAGCTTCCAGAGTGCCCCAGCGCCGTACGATTGCCGAAGTGGAAGGCCTGCTGGACGACGAGGATACGGAGCAATCCACCAAGCGCCAACTTATCCCTATCCAGATGGAACCGATATCTGGCGCTGCTGCCATGACGGAAGAAGAGATCTCGCAGGCTGTCAGAGCTCTTGCCCAGGAAATTCCATCGGAAAGGGACGGGCTGTGGAACTGGGAAGTCAAGTGGGATTACATGGATGACTCTGTCATCCGGGAGAAGCTACGGCCGTTTGTTGAGAAGAAGGTGGTGGATTACTTGGGCGTGCAGGAGGAGATGCTAGTGGAGGCAGTGGAGGAGCATTTACGAAAGCACGGCACTGCCGCTGCGCTGGTCGAGGAGCTCGAAGGGGTGAGTGACAGGTCGATTGGATCGCTTTACCAACGAAAGGTTTTTTTACTGACAGTTTCCTAGGCGTTGGATGAGGATGCGGAGGATCTGGTCAAGAAGTTGTGGCGCATGGTGATTTTCTTCACAGAGAGTGAGAAGCGAGGGTTGCCAGCGTAGGGTGGCTCTAGGGGTTGATATGTAAAAAAGGAAAACTAGGAAAAAACAAGTCGACCAGAATTTCTTGTGGTACAGGCGGCGTCGGTGGTGTATTTTAATTCCAATAGGGCGATGGCTGGGCTAGTGATGCGGGATACCACTTGTTGTAATTGATGTAGACGGAGAGTGGGTATGGACATTCTGATGACGATGGTTGTTGGGCGTGATGTGACGATGCGTGTGAGAAGCGATATATATGTGGTGAGCTACGGAGCATGCTGTGACGGAGTTGCGGCTATAAACCACTCTGGTGTTAGACGACGGGGTACTTTTACTTGGATGGCGTCCAAGTCTCTTGTTGGCACCATTGGTGTATAGGAGTCGTCGTCAAGGGGCTGTTTCATTTGTCCCGTACTTTCATTCCTGTTTCTACAGAAGGTACTATGTAAGGGTCGCGAGTCACCTACTCGGTGACGGTCGACTCGTGCTTTCTAGGGGCTTGTGGATGGGACATTCAAGCCCGGAATCTGCTGGTTAACAGCGTGTAATGGTAAGTTGAATATCTACCTAAATAGATATAGAGGCTAATGTGATATTCACCCGGTTAGAGTAGGAATGTGGATTGCTGGTCGCCTTTTGCGTCTGCGAATTCGTATACGTGAGGAGATTAGCCTGGCGTGATGACTGGCTGTGGAGAGTTGAAGCCAAGAAATGCAAGTTTAATCAACCATCGTTGAACTTGACAGTTGAGCCATCATTTTTGACTTGCTGTCATGTACCATCTAGTGTTTTTATTCTATTCAGGATGACCTGGGTCATGCTTGATCATGTTGTGCAAGTCTTGACGAACCTGCTCGGACTGGGAAAATGGGCGCCATGGTTTGTGTATAAAGTCGCAAAATTGGGCGGAAAAAAAATCGCTCAGCCCTACCACTCTTGATGTCCCAATGTGCTCTGTCGGCGCAGCGGCCCGTGCTGCAAGGTGCCAAGATGCCTGATGGATTGGAAGAGGGATGTTGATTGAATCTCGGAGGCGGTGGTGATGGCCTTTGACATGAAATCGACTTCTCTGTCTGGCGGACTCGCAGACTTACTTCACCTCATCCAGTTGTCGATGAACCCCCCACTTCAAGATGCAGATGGCGCCCTCTTTCGACAAATGGCGCCGGATCTTGGAAGAGTCGTTCCCTACGCCCGAGCTGGGCGTCGATCCCCATCTTGATGGCGAGCTACATCATATCACGGCTGCAGATGGTTGTTGCCAGGGAGATTGAGTCCCAGGAGCCCTGTGCCGTCACATGTGGCTGCTTCCACGGGGAACAGACGCCAGCATCATACCCGAGTTTGCAGACTTTAAAGTCGACATTCGCTCCTTTAGCAAGGGCGTTCATACGCGGCGATCAGGGCGGCCAGGCGAATTATCCGGGGAGAGTGCCTGGCTGCAAACTCTCCCCGGAGTCCGCGCATCTTGACCTCTGCTAGCTGCCCACTGATTGATAATGAACGAAGTAGCGACGGCCAGATTCACCGCCGCCTTGCGTAGCTTCTATGGCGACGAGGCTCCCGGAAAGATTGTGAAGATGGACCTTGACATTACGGCGGATGATTTCGTTCTTCTGGGACATTCACCCGGTAAGAAGCCCATACCGTACGTCTATTGGAACTTTGGGGTGACCCCAGGAGACGAGTATGACCAAGCCAGACCTGCCCTTCAACCATGACCCGAAGTTTGCGGCAGAGATTGAACCCTCTCTTCAGGTGGGAACCGGAGAGTTGGCGATTGCTTCGGTTGCATTCTTGGAATACGGTCGAGAGGGATTGTACCGTCACCATTATGCCGGCGCCGTCTTGCTCGTGCTATGGTCCGCGGCAGAATATGCTTACCCACCAAGAAGTATACACCATTATATTGTAATTCATTATAGTATAGAGCTCGATAGCCAGGTATTCGATCTAGTCATGTACTTTTTGCTGCGCACCCCCACACTGCATACATCATCATGATGGGAGAGCTCTGTGGTATAACGCTCAATTGTCGACGAATAAAACTACTCGTTACTGAGCATTGACGGACCTAGCATTGTAGCTGGGCGTTCAAATAGCTGCGTAGAGGTACAAATCTATCAATAGAGCCACTTTTTACCTTCCCGTGTCCTCAATGCTAGCCTTCTCAATCTGCTCATACATGCCGGTCTTTTCCGTAGAGCCGGCATTCAGTAATTGTATCAGAGGTTGAGTGTACTCCTTTGAGTAGGGGGTATATAATTAATCTGTCTTTGTGTCGTAATGTTTTTCAACTTGTGTACAGTCCGTGGCAGAATATTGATCCACCAACGAGTATACACTAGTATACTGTAGGCGTATTGTAGCATAGAGAGCTGTAGCCGGGTACGTAAGCTAGTTTATACCTTCCGCCTCCCACTACAAGGCAGTAGAGGCAGTGAAGCTAGGCTCTAGAATCGAATGTTCATTTGGCTGATGCTGAGCTTCCGTGGCCCGAGATCGATCATGCCAGAAGCTCTTCCATACGTTAATAAAAAGTGCAAGTCCAAGCGCGTTGAGGCGTCCGAGGGCCGGGACTCACGGTTGTCATCAGGCATGCGATTTTCGAGCCGCAGAGAGACGACTTACACGGCCAGTCTCAACCAACTGGTGAGCCCTGTTCCAAATAGGCCACCCTTCCTCCCTTCTCCGGGCCTAGCGTATTGAATTCGAATCCCGCACAACTCTATGCATCTCACGCGTCGGCATGGTGAGATGATGTCGTCGGAGGCTCGGAGCCGGGCCGACGTTGGCCGCCAAGGTGCCGTGCCGAGGCACGGGCCTGTCAATTCTCCTCACCCATTGGCTCTTCCCCCTTCCCCGGCCGTTGACGCATCTCCACCCCCGGATTTCCCTGGTGGAGTGGCATACAATACAAGACATGTCAAACAACCACCCTCGGTGCATTCAACTTGCACCAGAGCACTTCTTCATTCCTGCCTGAGTCAGTGTTGGACAGCTGCATCCGCTCACTCACCGCACTGATCCGCTTGGCCCTGGTATAGCAGCTACACTGTCGAGGTCCAGGAGCTACAACAACATCCAACATCAGACGACAGCCGCCTCACATCTCGCCTCATTCTTCACTTTAAAAAGGGCCCCTTTTCCTTTCGCAAGACGCGGCCATGACTCTCAACAACTTCACCAACCCGCCCCCTTCTGTGCCCAACGTCATCCTCTCCTTCCCCCGCTTTCACGTCCTCCTCGTCACCCTCAACCGGCCCAAGCAGCTCAACGCCATCCCGCGAGGCCTGCACGCCAAGCTGGACGCCCTCTGGAACTGGTACGACGCCGAACCGACCCTCCGCTGTGCCGTCGTCACCGGCAGCGGACGTGCCTTCTCCGCAGGCGCCGACCTCAAAGAATGGAACGACAGGAACGAGCAGAACATCTCTGCCGGTAGTGACCGCGACCGCACCTGGGAGGACAGTGGTTTCGGCGGCCTTAGTAACCGCCGCGGCAAGAAACCCATCATCGCCGCGGTGAACGGCCTCTGTCTCGGCGGGGGGATGGAGAGGATGCTCAACGTGGACATGGTTATTTCGGCGCCCGACGCCAAGTTTGCCCTTCCCGAGGTTACGAGGGGCGTGGTCGCGGGTGCCGGTGCGCTGCCGAGGCTGACGAGGACCGTGGGCAGGCAGAGGGCGTCGGAGATGGCGCTGCTGGGGAGGATGCACCCGGCGCAGCAGATGCTGGAGTGGGGGGTCGTGAACAGGATCGTCAGGGCCAAGGGGGAGCATGCTGTTGTCGAGGAGGCGCTGAGCTGGGCGACCGACGTGGCGTGCAACTCGCCCGACTCTGTCATTGTCAGCAGAGAGGGTCTGCTGGGCGGGTGGGAGGCGGAGGACCCGAGGGCGAGCACCAAGAGGATCGACCGGGGGATTTTCAAGAGGATGGAGGATACCGGCCTCTGTCTCGGCGGGGCGATGGAGATGATTCTCAACGTGGACATGGTTATTTCGGCGCCCGACGCCAAGTTTGCCCTTCCCGAGGTTACGAGGGGCGTGGTCGCGGGTGCCGGTGCGCTGCCGAGGCTGACGAGGACCGTGGGCAGGCAGAGGGCGTCGGAGATGGCGCTGCTGGGGAGGATGCACCCGGCGCAGCAGATGCTGGAGTGGGGGGTCGTGAACAGGATCGTCAGGGCCAAGGGGGAGCATGCTGTTGTCGAGGAGGCGCTGAGCTGGGCGACCGACGTGGCGTGCAACTCGCCCGACTCTGTCATTGTCAGCAGAGAGGGTCTGCTGGGCGGGTGGGAGGCGGAGGACCCGAGGGCGAGCACCAAGAGGATCGACCGGGGGATTTTCAAGAGGATGGATGGCGGGGAGAACATGAAGGAGGGGGTGTTGAGTTTTGTGGAGAGGAGGAAGGCCGAGTGGAAGGATAGCAAGTTGTGATGCTGCCTTGTGGCTGAGGTTGATGTGTTGTTGTTGCGAGCACAATGATGGGAGAGTTGCGTGTCAGGGTGTAGGGAGATTGGACAGGTTTTTGTGTATGGGGTTTGGCGATGAGCCCCGTATTATACCAAGTCGAGAAATTATTATCACGGTTATAAATGACGATGGAATTCTCGTGCTAGGTTGCAAAATCCACTTGTAGTGATTTGAGTTCAGTGTAGTTGAACCCAGAACGGGCTGCAAACCCCCTGCTATATTGCCTATTGTCTGTTGAAGAGTATTTTCGGTGGTATAAGCAAGCCACATATGTGAAATACAACCATCCATTACGTAGTCTATCAATACATGGGTTGTGATAGTATACGCAGAATCATTCGCAGATGCACTACTTCTGTGCCTGTTGAATGTGCTGCTTCGAGTCATGGCTATTTTCAGTATACTGTACCTCTACCTGGACGACTGGAACTCCCAATTACATTCAAAAAGCTATTCTTGGAATGGTGTTCCTCAACCTGACTCAAGGCATATGCTGGCGTAGAAGGATAGAGTAGACGAGAGGAACTGGAAAGATGTAAAGCTAAACAGCTAGTGTGGTTGATTGGCTGGTTCGTCCGATAATGTGTCAAGATGGCGATTGACCTGTTGGATACGAAAACGGAGTATCTAGTCATTTGTACGCCGCACTCCGTGCAGTCCTTCAATTTGGACGTGCGTCTCGGGAGTCTACCTATCGGAACCTCTAGTAGTCCTAAAGTCCGCTTCTCTCCGTTAGCACACTATCACCGTCGACTTCATGGAGAAGACCCCGATTCGCCATCAGGTTTTTGCACTCGTGCTCCCCTCCATAAGTAGTAGCACCTCATAGTCACTTGCCGTACGGCCGCGTAGCGTGAGAGTTGGCAAAGAATAACTGCAATATTGTCGGGAAAATGCTTGAGACGAATGATTCAGCCCGTGAAAATGAAACGAGTACAGAGTGATCCAAGCCAGTGTTTGTCTTTCCGCACCGAGTTTTTTGATCTGTAACATGTTATAATGGACTGAAACTGGGTGACCGCAGGACTCTAGCGAGAAGAAGAAAAGGGCTCGAGACTTGACAATTTCCCAAGGCGGGTTACTCGGCACCATGCAAATTGTCTTGCATGCTTTGGAGCAAAGCTCTCAGCTCACATAGCAGTACTTCCGTAGAGTCAGCGGTGACTAATTGCGACGGCGTCGTGGGTGGCGGTTTTGAGCGGCTCGGCCTGGCATCTTAGCATTCGGTCTTCAGTCATCGAGTGGTCAATATCGCCTGGTTAGATCGCCAACAATCTTATTAAACACCGGCGTGACTACTGAAGTACTCCGTAGAGAATCCCAAGCCGTAGGGAAATGCACACCCGCTGTCCCAGACGAGATTGATTCAGCAACTCTTTCTCCTTGTCTGTCACAATTGCAGCGACCAAAATTCAAAAAAAAAAAAAAAAAAAAAAAAAACCAACAACCAACTTCTCACGTCTGTGTTTCCCCATCGTTGACGAAATTGGCCAAGTGGCACTGCTGAACCAGACGTGCATCGCCAATATGCGGTGTAACTCCACATTCTCCCAGGATCCTCGAGGGGACGGAGAGTTGCTCTGAATGGACTCATGTCCCAATGCCAGTCCCGGGTCAGGAGTAACTGATTCATGCTCGTCGACTATGTGAACCGATGAAGGTTGCAAGTTGTGCGTTGAACAGGAGAAAGTCCGATTGTACACGCAGTTGACCTCTTCAACAACCCGAAGTTATCCGAACAAGGATCCCGTCGTCCACCAAACGGCCACTGGGAACATTACGGAGTACTCACGTCTCCTTTTCAGCGAGACATGCAGACAAGTCGCACATATCACAATCTGGACAAATGACGACTTCTGCAGCGTGCATAAAGCTGCACAGGAAAAAGCAAAAGGAAGGCCTAGACAATCCATGTACTATGCAGACTTTGCCCCATTCGAGCACACAATTTGCCATGACTGCACTCGCTCTAATTGGTAGAGGACTCCTTGGTGGTAATGGCCTCTCTCGTCCTGTACAGAGACAGCAACACGAGAACAAGCTGGTAATGATCGCTGGGGGTTCAGCCCGAGACATGCAAGCCTCCTCCTTTTTTGCACTCAGCCAGCGAATTTTGCTCTGAACCACGGAACAAGGTACTCCCCGGGACCGTGTGAACGCCAAGGGTTTGTTCATAAAGACTTGATGGTAACACGCTATTGAGACTGAGCATCACGCAGAACGTGTCATTGACGGGGATTTTCTCCGAGACACTGAGACAGCTAGAGAATACTAGTGTCGTGTCGCAGCCAAGGTTCTCTTATATAATGTATTCCGCCCACGGTTAGCCGTCGTGTAACTACCTTAAAAAGCTGGACGCATACAACGCTGCTTGGGCATCAATCAAGGTGAGGGAGAGCAGAATGGCCGACGGGTTGCTCGATCCGTATCCCGCGAATGGCGGCGCAAAACAGAAGCAGCACGAGGACTGGTACGCAGAACACTCGCAGAGACCTATGAGCCCCAGAGATAAAAGCCCCAGGGGTGTCAGCCCAGGCGGCAGAAGTCTGAGTGCACGAAGCCCAAGAGCTGCGAGCCCATTCTCAAACGCCAACATGCCGAGAGATGCAGAAAGGGCCCCGAGGAAGCTGATTTTGTGCTTTGACGGGACGGGAAACAAATTCCATGGCGACGAGAGCGATAGCAATATTCTGAAAATATTTCGAATGTTGGATCGATCTGCGGGTGACCAATATCACTACTACCAACGTGAGTTTTATATGTACAAACATGATTCTACTACGCCATACTGGCCGCTGACACTTTTGTTCCTGCAGCTGGCATTGGCACATATGTCATCTCGGACTCTCTTTCTCACAGCGGCCTACGAGCTCGCATTAGGTCGTGGTGCCAAAAGGCCAAAGATTCTGCCATTGGCTCGTCTTTTGATCAACATGTTGTTGGTGGATATCGCTTCTTAATGCGCTTTTATCAGACGGGCGATGAGATTTACATGTTCGGTTTTAGTCGCGGCGCCTACATTGCGCGATTTCTCGCTGAAATGCTCGACTACATTGGTCTCTTGTGCCACGGAAACGAAGAGATGGTTAAATTTGCCTGGAAAGCTTTTGCCCAGTGGCAGGCCAGAAAGCCGCCTTCCAAGGACGCCGATGATGAGGAAGAAGAGTCCGAGGAAGATAAAGAAACGCGCAGAATGTACAACTACATGAAGGGCTTTCGAGAGACCTTTTCACGCCCGGTGGGCCGGATTCGGTTCCTAGGTTTGTTTGATACGGTTAATTCGGTGCCGCGGTTTGAAGCTGCCTGGATGCAGCGAACCAAGTTCCCTTATACGGCTCGCACCAGTGCCAGATTCATTCGACATGCAGTCAGTATTGATGAGCGTCGCGCCAAGTTTCGCCAGGACCTTATTTACCAAAAGCCGCCGAAACATGAGCACCATCATCGTGTCCGCCGACAACATATGGCGGGGGTGATTGGCCGGATTCGACGAAGCATAGATGTGTCTCACACACACTCTGATGAGAAGCATGATTTGCCTCCCGTGCCCGTGGGGAAGGAAATGCATGCAAGTCAGTTCCTAGCACCTGGCGACGCGGGACGAGAACGACGTGGTGCCGTTTCCCACAAGCATCATTACGCACCGTATCGAGCACGGTCCAGATCCAGGCAGAGAATGGCACGGGGCGCACTTTTGGAGGACCAGGATGACATGTCTTGCTCTGATGCCTCTCAGTGGGAGGCTGAAATGGATGACTGGCAGAATGAGGACCAGGACATCGACGAGGTTTGGTTCGCGGGCGGCCATGGCGATATTGGCGGAGGCTGGGAAGCTCTGGACGGTCGCAAGAGTGCAAGTCACGTACCGCTATCGTGGATGGTTCGCGAAGCCATGAAAGCTGGCCTTTCGTTTGACCTGGATAACGTCACGAAGATGGGGTGCCAAGATGTATTCGACAAAGTCCGGCCCTCAGCGCGTGGCATGAAGTCTAGTCGAGCAAGCCAGCCAGCCATCCAGGTGGAAGACGAAGCAGGCCATGTCCAGGGCGCACAAATCGGACAATCGAGCCCAGACATCGGACCACGCGATTTTGTGGCAGGGCTTGCGCCCGACTCTGACGACACCTCGCCGTTTCATGAACTCATGCATAAAGCCCACACATCCCGGATACACGACTCCCTCGAGTATGGTGGCGGGCTGGGTTACATGGCCGTTTCGGCATGGAAATTCATGGAATACCTGCCCTTCCGTCGCATGGACCTGCAACCCGATGGATCTTGGAAACCTATTCGATGGCCCCTACCGTGCGGTGAAGTGCGGGATATGCCGAACAATGTGCGCGTTCATGGTAGTGTTATCCGTAGATTGAAAGAAGACGAGACCTACAGACCGGGTAATTTGATAATCGGAGGTGGAGGAAGAGGTGTGAGACGGGCGCCAGCGGAATACGGTATTGGAGATTGGATATGTGTTGCTGATCATGGCGACCCAATTGGTGAGATATGGGAGAAGAAGCCCAAGGAGGTGAATAGGAATGAAAGCAATGGGACTAATGGAGCAAGACACTGAGTGTGCCGGTTTTTGAGAAATAGGAGATTGGGCGTACTATCTGGCATAATCTGAATGTAGTTGAATTAGGCAGATTTGCTGTGGTGATGGTGTATTCAAATTTATTTTGAACTTTTTTTTTGGCGGTTGCTTTCTCGTCACGTGGCTGTTACTCGGGGAAATCCAAGCTTCACCTGTGCAAGCTGCAAGCTCCAATCTCCCGATCTACTCTTGGTTTGCCCATTCGCCTCGACACATCTTTCAATTTCTTCATTAATGGAATTTGCAATCTCCTCCAGACCTTTGTAATATCCTCCGACTCGCCGGTTCGAGTCTGCTCCGTCAAAATGCCAATTCCCTTCCTAATGTACGTCATCGGACACGGTCCGCCAGACTGGCTTCGCGACAACGCATACACCATGGTAACCGTCGCGACGACCGTAACATTGCTTTACTTCTTCAAGAGATGGACATCTGGGCAGTTGAATCCGTCAGAAAAGAATCTCCACGGCAAAGTGGTCATGTTTACTGGTGGCACATCAGGGATCGGTGCGTTAGCGGCACAGGAAATGGCGACTCGAGGTGCTCAGATAATCCTTTTGACACATACACCACCTTCCGACCCGTTTCTTGTGGAATATATACAAGACATGCGCGAGCGAACCAATAACCAGTTGATTTACGCCGAGCAAGTCGACTTATCGAGCTTACACAGCATCCGAAAATTTGCGACAAAGTGGATTGACAATGCGCCCCCCAGGAGGTTAGACATGATTGTGCTCTGTGCTGCAACAATGACGCCGCCGGGGGGGAAGAGGCAAGAAACGAAAGAAGGAATCGAAGAGACATGGATGGTTAACTATTTGGCCAATTTCCACCTGCTGGGGATATTGAGCCCTGCAATCAAGGCACAACCGTTTGATCGAGATGTGAGGATTATCATGGCGACGTGCTCGTCGTACATTGGATCGCCTTCTTTGAAGGAACCAATCGTCGATGGAAATTGGTCTCCGTCTACGGCTTATGCTCGAAGCAAGCTTGCCCTTACCGTGTTTGGCCAAGCATTTCAGAAGCATCTCGACACCTATAAACGCCCTGACCAGCTTCCAATGAACGCCAAGGTCATTTTTGTTGACCCTGGCCCGAGTCGTACACCAGGAATGCGACGCTGGCTAACAAGAGGGTCCCTCTTTGGCCTGGCTATCTACGTTGTTGGGTATGCGTTTCCATGGCTTTTGCTCAAGTCACCATTCAGAGGCGCGCAATCTATTCTTTACGCAGCAATGGAATCTAGTTTAGCTGTAGGGCATGGGGGCAGGCTGATAAAAGAATGCATGGAGGTAGATTTTGCTCGCAGCGACGTGAGAGATGACGAAATGGCCAAAAAATTGTGGGAGGAGAGTGATGCATTGATTGAAAGGACAGAAAAGGCATCAGCCAAGGCCAGAGCTGCGGAAAAGGCGGCAAAAGACAAGGAAGACGAGAAGAAGAAAGAACAGGAAAGGATCGAAGAGATTGAGGGATTAGTTGACACGATTCGAAAGGGCAAGCAGAAACAACAACAAAAGCAGGAGAAGGAGAATCCAAAGTTGAAGAGTGAGAAGACTAAAACGTAAGAGAAAGCAGTTCAGGCCATAGACCTGCGTATTTCACTAATACCATTATGAATATCGATGTCTTCTTTGAGTGTATGAAGGCCCGAACTTGTATTCTCTCTATAGCATTGAAGGCCGGGTTGCCTTCAAGGCTTCCCTTCTGAGTTGTCGGTATCAAAAGGGCAGAGGGTCTGCTGGTGGCAACAGCCGAAGCGCCGGGACACTCCAAGTCATGCGAGGCTGGTCTGGACGATGCCTTGTTCGGTACAGATGCATAGTATCTGGATTTCTGTGTAGCCAGAGCAGTGTATTTACCATGTCCACCCCGCAACTTCTCCCCTGTTGTCTTTCCGGTCACCTTTCTTCATGTCGTGGAGGAACGATTCGCATTGCGCCGCATCACCATCGCAACTCTGCGCTGACCTGGCCGCGTTATGGACAGATGGCTCATTGCCTCATACGAGTGCGTGAGCAGCTGGCGGCCGGCCCAGGTCATACGCTTGGCCTTCTGAATCTGAATGCATACTCACTTTGTCGTTTGAGGCTGTGTGCTGGCCACCTGGCAACAACAAACGAGACGCGCGTATCCTTGTCTTTTCAAACGGATGGCCCTGCACCAAACGCGAAACCATCTCTAGCTTCTGCAAACGGATGAGCTCACTCTTTACCATAAATAGGGTCCTTTGCCCCAACCTCGATGCATGATCCTCCACGAGCTATTTGCTTCATGGTGTATCCATCAGCAGCGTAGCGTGTCTACCCTTCAATCAAGGCAAATTTGTTGTGCCAAGTCTAATAATCAGCATTGGAATATAGACGACCATGTACGAAATTCAAGATGTGCCAGGAAAGGGAAAGGGTCTCATTGCTACTCAAGCCATCCCAAAAGGCACCCGTATCCTTTCCGAAAAACCCATCATTACTGTGCCTAAGCAAACCACAATGTCCATTGAGCAGTTCGCGAGGCTGGTCTCGAGACAAGTTGATGCCCTCAGCAAAAATCACCAACAGGAACTTCTGGCCTTGCCCACCGTTCATACCTTCAACGATGATGCGCAAAAATATCTTGAGATTACTCGAGCGAATGCCTTGCCAGCCAATGATGGCGAGGCTGGGATCTTCCTCCAAGCATGCCGCATCAACCATGCTTGCGATAACAATGCACATAATAACTGGAATAAAAACATTAAACAACACACAGTTCACGCCTTGAGAGACATTGAGAAAGGGGAGGAGATCACGATATATTACATGGGCGCCTACTGGAATCGCGAAACCCGAATTCGGAGACTCCAGGAACGGTTTGGATTCATATGCTCTTGCGGTCTATGCTCTTTGCCACCAGATCAAAGCCAGGAAAGCGATAAGAGACTGGAAAAACTTCTTCACCTGGACGATTTAATCGGCCGAGGTGGTGTTCTGGGAGTTTTGTCTAACCCTCTCCAAAAGCTTCACCACGTGGATCACCGAGTGCGACTCCACGAGCAGGGTCCGAATGACTCGGGCTTGCCGCAGGCCTATTTTTTCGCCGCACAGATTGCTATCGCTCACGGTGACTTGGCAAGGGCTCGAATCTTTGTTGACCGAGCCGTAGATGGACGGATCTGTTTTGAGGGCGATGATAGCCACAATGTAAGTGAGCTCAAAGCTCTGGCGCATGATATGTCGGAAGACGAACTCTACGGGTTATCGATGAAGTGGAAAACAGCTGTGAACGACGTTCCCCAGGGCCTTGACCCAGCTGAGTTGGAGGACTGGCTTTGGCGCAGAGAAAAGCCGAGACAGCCAGGACAGTTGGCTGATCTTAGAGACCGGACAACCTTTCCTGCATTTCCTGGCCTCCCACACGACCGCGACGAGTCATACTACTTTGAAGATCCCAGCGGGCTGATGGGCCTTTCGCGACGTAATTGGTGCTTTTTGGCAGAAATCCGGCAAGTGACCGCATTTACACGTCTGCAGTTCGAGATTGAAGATGTTGACGGGCAGTCTCTCCCATTGTTCTTTTACACTGATGGTGGGGGAATGGGGCTGGAAAGAGCACAGGTCAAGGAGGGCTTCACGGTGGCAATTCTACAAGCGAAACAGCACTCGTTTGCGTTTGATAGACCTGGTATCCGCCACGAACAACCTACGAGGATGAAAGTGAGACGCACGCCTGTTACGATCCGCGCAGTTTGACATGTTACTCACCGCTATCTGTTTGTAGATCTTTCCCGTATCTCTCGACAACCTGATGGCATTGAGCGATCGAATCCAACAGTTCTCAGCGGAGGCCAACGGTACACGAGTCTGTCACAGCTGTGGTACGAGAGCAGCCTCGCTGAAACGATGTGGCAAATGCCTCATTTTCTGGTATTGTGGACAGGTAGGGTTCCGAGAATAGACCCTTCCCTTTCATGATGTGACGTACTGATTCGGACGTGTCAGGACTGCCAAGTTGCTGGATGGAATAAGAACGGGCATAAGGCTGATTGCAAACTTCTCAGGAATAAGGATCTGCGGTCATTGTTCATCTCTGACTGGGAAAATTTGAGAGTGGTATCCGATTCCCACTCAGCGTGAAGAAGGCGTAGGAGCATTGCTCCTTTGGAACATGGGGTGAATGCATGTTCCTCTGTCGACGGGATGCAAGACTCGTCAAATGTGACGAAGACTAGAGCTCACGAGAGCCGTGAAAACATTACTTACTGGCCTGTTATCGCTGGAGGAGATTGAAAATCATGTTGCGGCCTTTAATTTGCCTTTATCAAGTTAGTGACAAACACAACGGTCAGGTTGACAGCTGAACAATACCACGGTTCGGCACTCAGGTGGAAGAATCCACAATCAACAAGTTATGTCATGAGTGGCCATTTCATCCAAAAATTAGTATGGTGCCGATGCCCAACCATCAAAAAGTAGACAGACCAAGCAAATATGGCGTCTAATAAGTGGCTAGTGTTGTGTGCTCGGTTCTGCCGCTGGTTTTGGACGACGCATCTCGATTCGGATAAAATTAGTTAAATTACATTCAGAGACGGAAGAGTCAAAAATACATAATTACTCCATGATGTCACTGAGTCATGGATTGGGTCATTTCAGTCTTTAAGCTTAAATCCAAGCTAGACATTTAGCTAACCACCCAAAGAACTTACGAATCATCCATTTAATCGCCAATTGTTAGGGACCAGTAGTGCGAAACTAGCGGCACGAAGCTTTTATGAACCAACCCATGAATCACTAGAAGGCAACTACATGAGCCTAGAAGATAAGTTGCCTGTAAACCTGTAGATATAAATGGCGGTTCTTGCGCCTGTGTAAAAGATAAAGTTTAGAGATAAGTGCCGTTACTTCTCGAACACCAACTAGCTTGTATAAATTCCCCGAGCCATCTCCCTAGTCGCTATGCTACCACAACCCAGTATTGGCAACGAGAAATATAAAACAGGCCTCAGTTCCGTACCTAGATCCAATCGAGGACAAGTTCTACCATTCTTACGCGACCTACACACAAATTTGTATGTTCATCGTCACCAAGCTAGGCCTGACTATCAGCTACCGCAAACGCCTTTGTTATAAAAACAACCCTAACTTGTTGACTCCCCCGTACAGGAATATTGTTCACGTCCAATACGTGAGACAGTTCTTGTGCTTCAGATATTTCCGTCTTTCAAGATGAAAGCATCAGTTCTCTTCGTCTGGCTCACCACCACGCTGGGTGGTAGCCTGGCTGCTGCCGTCGTCAAGGATATTGCCAAAGACGTACCCCCGGCGCACAAGGAGTTTGTACTTTTCAAGAGCTCAAACATGGCCGGCGCAGACAAGCTCGCCAACGGAGTCGGCTTCCACTCCTTCCGAGTTCCCGCGGTTGTGACGACATCGACGGGTCGAGTCCTTGCCTTTGCCGAGGGCCGGCGCCACGACAACCGCGACCTCGGCGACGTCAAGGTCGTCATGAAGCGCACCAAGACGGTCAACAGCCATGGCTCCAACCCCAGCGACTGGGAAAGCCTGCAGGTAGTCACAAAGGACGACGGCGTCTGGGGCAATCCCACGCCTGTCGTCGACGGCCCGACCATCTACCTATTCCTCAGCTGGAACAATGCCAAGTACAGCAGAGACGGCGAGGACAGGCTCCCCAACGGCAAGAAGACCAAGAAGGTGGACGGCAGCTGGAAGTCCCGGCGACACACCTACCTGACGCAGAGCACCGACGACGGCCAGACGTGGTCGGAGCCCAGGGAGATGACCAGGCAGCTCACGCCGGGCGGCCGGGGCTGGGACGTTGTCGGCCCCGGCAACGGAATCGTCCTGACGTCGGGGGAAGTCGTGGTCCCCGCCATGGGACGAAACATTGTCGGAAAGGGCACGCCGGGCCAGCGGACGTGGTCGTACAAGAGGCTCAAGGGGGCCGGGGCCGAAGGGACGATTGTGCAGACGCCCGACGGCAAGCTGTACCGCAACGACCGCGCCGGAAAGGACGAGGAGTACCGAAAGATTGCCCGCGGGACCCTGGCCAAGTTTGGCTCCTTCACGCTCGACAAGGGCCTCCCCGACCCCGACTGTGCGGGCGCGACGCTCCTCTTCAACCGCGCCGACGACAAGGGCCCGGCCCGCGTCGTGTTCCTCAACTCGGCGGACAAGAATACCCGGCGAGCCATGCGTGTTCGAATCAGCTACGACAAGAATGCCAAGGAGTACAGCCACGGCCGCAAGTTGAGCGACGCGCCCGTCTCCGGGGCCGGAAACGAGGGCGGATACGCGAGCTTGACCAAGACGGCCGACTCGGAGATTGGTGCCCTGGTTGAGACGGACTTTGACCAGACTGGAGGCTCGAAGGATGATTACCACGCCATTATCTGGAGAAAGTTTAACTTGAGCTGGGTCCTGCACGGGCCCAAGAAGTAAGTGTTGCAAGATTGGACGCTGGGATGGTTTGCTGGGACTTTTTCGTCGGCCGGCCCGAGCACACTGTGTAGCGGGAGCAGTGCTTTTTTTGTTTATCTATTTTGCTTCATTGATTTGATGTTGATGAAGCAGTTTAGACGAAATGGGAATTCATCTTGGTACTAAATTGCCCCTTTTCACGTGTTAGAATGTGACAAGGACAGGGCATCTGGGCTTGGAACGAAGGGGTTCAATTCAATCTCACTAATAGACTTTGAGGCATCAAAGGTCCTTGGTGATCCAAGAGGCCCCGAGGCACCGGAGGTCTCTATACATACAAGAAGTCGGTGATCTCTAGCAGCCTGAGGCAGCCCTTGCCAAGGTCCGACTCCGGGCTCTCGTGATGCCTTTCTTTGTTGTTGTGTAGCCTTTGTTATCCAGTACCTTTGTCCAGGTATGACCGTGTGACATGGAACGCGCATTGGGTTGACCGTTGAGGCATGGAGCGAAAAGACGTAGCGACAAGGTCAAGCAGATCAAGCATTATACCGTTGTATTTTCAGTTTCGATAACGAAAGGACAACTAGCTAACTACTTGATCGGATCAATGAAATGAGCGGGGTTTCTCAGCCGGCAACAACTTAAAGGCAAATTAAAAAGATGAACAAATCAGGCTCATCCAACGGCAAAGCTCCAGGCTCGTGACACGGCTCAGCACCAAATCGGTTCTCCCAGCTCGTCCAAGACAATGCACTGGAAATCGGACAGCCACGGTCCTCCAAATAACCCCTGCTTGGCATATTAAAAAGTCACTGGCAAGTGCGTAATCCCCACGTCCTTGTGCAGCGGTGAGAATTCAAGCTTCTCTATGGGCACGGCGATCTTCAGGTCTGGTAGCTGCTGGAACAAGGTAGCTTCAGGGTAGAGATGGTCAGTACAATACGTGCTCAGCATATCCTACCAGAGCGAGCGTGTCTTGACGTACCAAATACAGTGGTGAGCTCTGCCACCGCCAAGGTCTCTGCAACGCATCGGTGATCGCCAAAACCAAACCCTAGGGGGTCCTCGGCAGGCCATGTGCGGTTCATATCGAATTTGTCGGGATCAGTAAAAATCTCGGCGTCCCGATTGGCCGACTGATTAGACGCAATAATGCCCTCGCCAGCTTTGATAAGCTGTTCAATGTTAGCTTTGCCTGCACGCGGCAAATCTCGTCCAGTATGCCTCAGTTGGCTATACGCGACACGTACCTGTCCCCCGATCTCGACGTCAACCTTTGCCGTTCGCTTCATTGCCAGTGCCGATGCGGTGTGGTAGCGACAAAGCTCCTTGACAAAGGCTCCTGCCCGGGACGGGTCTGACTTGAGCTGATCCAACTGATCAGGGTGCTGGAATAGTGTCACTATGCCCTACGGCTACCGATTAGCCAGAGCTACTGGGTCAATATGGGGTACTTGTATTTCGCTCACCAGGTTGATCATGTTGACCAGCGTTGCGTTGCCGGCGACGAGCAAGAGAAAGGCAATCTGGACTGCGTCGGACTTGTCTATAACCCCCTTGCTCACCTGGTTGACAACCAGTTCACTGATGAGATCATTCTTCGGCTCGGCAAGGCGCTTATCGACAAGTGTGCCGATATAATTCAGCAGTTCCCTAAATTGCACGTCATCAGCTCCGCACCATTCTCACATGGAGGTGGGTAGCTTACTGGTTCGCTGTTGAGGCCTCCCTGGCTGTTCCGCTGCCATTTGATCGGGTGGCAACTTGTTCTGTGAGGTATTCCAGGTCGCTGAAAGGGACGCCGAGGATAGTGTAAATAATCTTTGCAAGGCACGGTCAGTATACTTCTTTGCTGATGCCCGAGCTGTAGGTTCGTACATATGAAGGGACTGGCAGTGCAAATTCCTTAACCAAGTCGACGGGTCCAGCGGCGCAACCCTTTGTCTTCATAGAGGCCAGAAGGTCGTCGACTGTTTTCTGAATAAAGGGCTGCAGGTTTTTCACATGTTCGTCGGTGAAAAACTTGCTCACCATGCTCCTTTCGAACAGGTCAGCTGGTGGAAGGTGATACTCGAGTCCATACAGGCAACTTGCCTTTGATGCATGTGGTCGGGCGCATCCATGTCGACAAAGGTTGGTTTAGCCTTTGCAGCAGCCTTACCTCCGGCGCTCAGCTCTGGGAAGCCGGGCCTGTCACGTACCTGGTGTGATGGTCAGTCATGTGAAGGCTAATAATCTGATTTGCTGCCCTGAGGCCGTATATGTGAGGTGTTTTACCTTGGATAGCCTGTCGTCAGTTGCGACCTGTGTGACATCCTTATATTTGGTGACAAGCCAGGCCAAGCTGCCGTCGAACAACTTCACCCTCGAGACAGGGTCTGTGGCTCGAAGACGAGCGTACTCTGCAGGGGGGTCCATCCCCGAGGCACGTTGGAACGGGAAACTGGGCGGTTCCACAGACATCGTGGTGGTCATAGTTGTGAATTTTAAATAAATGGGGGGTTTGGATTAGATTGGGGGCTCGATAGTGAAGGAATAGGAAGGGAATGGCATTTTCTAAACGGCTCGGCTGCCATTTATATACGTTTTGAAGCATAGGCTTGCAGCACCTGAGATGTCCCAAGTGCTCCCCCACAATGAGTCTCGTCATTGAAACTGTAAGCGACTCCACGTCTGCCTTGAAGTTTATGCGCAATAGAATTACCAATGCGTGGTACGTTCCGCCCGGAGCATTTGTTGGCCATGTGAGCTGGGGCTTGGCCGGAGTGAATTGGGAATATCACGCAGCTGATACGTCGGCTAGCCAAGGGCTTGTCCGTACAACAAGACTGACGAGTCGGAGTACTCGTAATGGTCATTTCTGGGTCAGCTTTGCGGGCGTAAAAATAGCATCGCATTCAGAGATGGAATGTCGTTCCAGGGGTCCGTGTCACCCGGGTGTCACGTCGGTTATCGGGTTGATCGTCGAGTCATGGGTACCAGGCGGCTCTGGGCCGAATCCCGCCGATATCCAGCCTACAAGTGCCGGAGTGAATTCGGCTTCTTGCCTTCGAAAAATACATGTAGGCTGGAAGATGTAGCGGATGGGCGATGATGAAGTCGAAATAGTATTAGTTCCCGATCCTGCATGAACAGGCACAACTAGACTCGTCCAATCAGCTGCGTTTAAATTAGCTTACAAGCTAATGACGTGGGGACAAGGCTGTTCCAGAACCCGTCTGGTGACTTCGGAACTTTCAAGTTGCCCCTACGGAGTATATTGGGGGGCAATTAAGTGTCACTCAACGTCACTGTCCACGCGCCGCGATGCATGGAGGAAGGCAAAGCCAACTTGCCTTGGACTGTAGAGTCCGAGATATGCCGGTGCTCCGTACATGACCGTCATAGCGTGATTTGCCAACGCACAGCCGAGAGCTAGACGACTACCGGTTAGGCCCCGTTGAGGCAATAAAAATCGCACGAGGATGGCGACCTTCTCCGCGGAGATGATGTTGCCAGGACCGACTTGAACTCGGGGCGGACGGTAAGGCAGCAATGCATTTTGAAGAAAATTTTGAGGGTAGTTATCACAAGAATAAATAAATGAATAAAAGATACTTGCCCTAATGGCGCAGCACCGAGGCCCCCTTTCATTCGGTTGATAGTAGTCTTGCTTTATTTTATACTTTGGTAGTCCCGGCCAATCTTACCGGGGCAAGTTACAATCGCCAAGTCCTTAACCCATTGAAACTATGTCAAGTTTACTTATTTGGTTTATTTTCAATACAAATGGTAATACAAGCGTAATCCAAGCACCGTACAACCATTGAAACTATATGATGAAGAAAAGGAAGCTGATAATAAGCATGTGCCCTTTTTTCCCAAAAAGTGCCGTGTACTGTCAGAGTGGTTATCGGATTTAACAACTAAGCCCTGGAGCAAAAAGATCCAGAAATAGCGGCCCATGACCGAATATCTTAGATATCCAGCTTATAAGTGTGCACTGTAGTCTGTGAGTCACCGGCACAAACTATATTTTGCTCCACGCAGTCAGTGGCTGAGGCTATCTCGCGATAGCCTTCGCCGGCGCGCGCTGTGATGAATCACCAATCGGCTAGTGTGTCTGACGCATCGCGATGCGTTCATGGTGTCTTGCGTGGTTCGTTACGGTTCCCTGGCCTAGGTACGGCCAAATACGGTGTTACTAGATGCCCTTCATCTAGCCCGTTTTTTTGATTTTTTTTTTTTTTTTTTTTAAATAAGTTAATAAGTGTGCACTGTGGGCTATCTGTCACCATGGACCCGACATGCATCTTCATTTTTCAATTGCAAATCGTGAGTGCTTCAACTATATAAACCCCCAGTAAATAAGAAAGGCGTATCAACATAAGCCTCAACCACTGAACAACATGTCAGAATTGGGTCTACAGTACAGGAGTAAAGAAGTGCCAGCGAGTTACTGCAACGTACGACCAGCCTCTAAGCTCCTATTTTCAGTAAGCCCCCGGACGCACGACTGCTTAGGTTGTCCAGTGACACCGTACATGCAGAAGTAGTATAAGCCGTCTTGGACCACTTCAACAGGACCCCCCCAATGTACCACCTCAAACTGGTTACGCTCATCTTAGGTGCCGCAGAGCCGTAACGATCTGGCTCTTGATGGCATTCTTGAAGTCAGCCTCGCTCCCACTCTTATTCTCCATCAATATCTCGTTAGATATCAACAGCCACGGCGCAACATACTCGTATCCCCCCCGACTGGTAGACATGAGCTCGAGGTACTTTTCAGCACTAGCGGACGTGTGTATGGTGCTCTAGTCCCCCGGGTCGAGTTGCAGCTAGTCCCGAGCAAAAACCAGCATTGCCGCCCGTATGCCTGCCGCGACGCAAACCGCAAAAGAAGTGCCGCTCTTGTACGCTAGCTCCTCCGTGCGGCCGTCTCCCCAAACTCTGACGTTTTCCCCAAGCGTGCTGAAGTTTTTGCGGCCCCTTATCGGAGAGGCGTGGTCAGGAGACGGGTTGCCGTAGCTATCTGTGGAAAATGTCGGAATGACGCCGTGCATTCTGGCGGGAAAAGAGGCACCATCGTTTGCACCGTTATTCCCGGTTGCAGCCAGGCAGATGATGTTTTTCCTCATGGGTTGGGATATCGCATTCGCAACACCTTTGTGGTTTTCGGTTTAGTATTTAGTGCAAGTTCTGTAGCTAGAGATGCTCACATGGGCAATAATGTCGGCGATGGAATTCTGTGGCGGTCAGTTATTTTGGCAATGAAGACTTTGGCAAATGGCGCCGTTTCCAATAGCATCGTTAAGCAAGACGCCCCATGTCCGGAGTGGTCGTGGTACAGTTCCCATTCCCATCTTCAGAGGTAAATTTTCGTCCGTGGGTATGATAGGAATCCTGGAACATAATGCGAGCGCGGTCCATCCTAGCACCGAGGAGCGCGATCTTGCAAGGGCTTGTACGGTTTTCTGGTTCACGAGCCATTCCCCATTGGCCCAAGAAGATGGCGTGTCTGTGAAACCATGCCCGGTGATCCTTTCGAGGTCTGTTACTGCCAGTCACTTCATTTCTCCGAATCACGCACCGTTCCTGCTCGCCCGCCTCAATTACCATTTTGCGTCTCCAAGGCCTTCGTGCCGCGGGCTCTCTATAGAAGGTCAAAGGCTCAATCTGCACCAGACCGCGTGCTTGAACCGCTGGTTGTCTCTTGGTTCGAGGAGCGGTGTTAATAGCTGCGTTAGTCCAAGATTCACATATATAGAGAGGACGCTTTAATTTTAGATGCTAGCCGCTAACTCTCGTCTTATAACCAAGTCCCATTCCGTCTTCGTCGCAACGTCAGAATATAACACAGGTCGGTGGGTTGCTAATAAATGAGCCGCCTCGTGAGGCTCTTCGCCGACTTGTTTACCCGGCTCCGATTCACGACCTGTGACATCGATCATCTCTGTATCATCCTCTTCGTCCTCACTATCCGGTATGATGCGCCGACAAATGCGAAGCTCCCGAGCTTGCTCATGACGTGATAGGAGCACTTGGAGGAGCCCCGAACGCCTGTCTCGTCCTCATCGTCTCCTAGGTATACCTGGCCCTTGAGCTTATGATAATGGGCCAAGCGGTTGAAAAGATAGGAGGTGCCAAATCCAGATTTTAACAGCTTCTTTGACTTTAACAGGTCAGTTAGTTTGCTGGTCAATGGATGATTGTCTACCAAAGGTGCTTTCCCCTCAATGCTGCACGCTGTAATTAGTTCAACAACGTTGTCCTGGTCACAGTAGATGGATTCTATAGCAGATGCAGAGTGGCAACAGTCCAGTATAATCAGGGCATCTGCATTGGAACCCTTGAGGAATGATTTCTGACGAGTGTTCCGCTCGACGTAAGGGTGTTCGGTTCCGTCAAAGCTTCGGTCCAGTAGGCGTTGAGGCATTCGATTTACGATGCAGAGAAACCTCGAGCTTACCACTTCGTAATTCACTGGCCGTCCAATGTCAATACGTCACCGTGGCCGCCATAATATACCAGCAACATGTCCTTCTCCTTATCGTGCGCTTCTCTAAACTTGCGGGTCTCGTCCTCGAGATACTTTTCAGGATCGGTGCTTGGGAAATCAATAGCCTCGGCTCCAAACTTGTAAGGCGATCTTGACACGCGCTGAAGCTCTGTCCTCTGATTTTTGAAAATTATTGTTGCATTATTCCAGCATATCAACAAGGCCTTCACATCTTCATATCTGCGCATTTCGCTCAGACAGTCCTCTTTCGTGGCGAGCCGAGGACCGGAGCGGGAGAAGGTCTGTCACAAAGAAGTTACCGTTGCAGAAATTGAGCATGCGGGTATACTTCTGACGTGTCTAGCGACCTGCAGATAAGATGTTCTTTTTCTTCCCGTGTGCATTGGTCGCCGCTCGACTTGTTTTCCTCGCCTTATTATACCTTTATTAGTTAGCTACTTAATTTAATAGTATTTTAGGCAGATAAATAACGCCTTGCTAGCTGTGAAGATACTCGTAATTCATTACGGTTGAATCACCAACAGGTTTCTTCATCAAGAGAAACATGGCGGGAAATGGCGACGGCCTCCCACGGCAGTATAATGCTTTGATGAGCCACCACAGGCTCGGAGACGCATTTTACGAGCCAGAGTCATCACCGGTGGTGAAGCCGGAATCGTGTGGATCCATTGACGGATCTGGCTCATGGCATCCAATTTTGAATGTAGTCAGCGATGCCGAAGTCGGGAAAGCAGGGCTTGGAAAGATTGACAAGACAAAAGTCATCAAGGGCTCTTTCTACTCGTCTTTGGGGCCCAAAGCTGACAGAGACAGTTTCTTCACGGACCTTGAGCCTGAGTGCCGACGTCCCCCTCCAGGCTGGAATCCCGACCACGGCAAACACGCTGGTCGAGTTCGAACTTTGTGCTGATTTTGGAGCCGTTCTTCTCTGCAAGGGCGACGTCACAAAGCGCGGATATGCTCATGACGATCCTTTGAGGAGATGGGCAAGAGCCAACATGTCGGCAACCATGGAAATCTACGGTGCAACCACAGCAAGTGGCTGGGTTCGACCAGTCTGTAAAGGTACCCATACCCAGCATCCTGTTCCCCCAATGTATTCCCACTGACGGATACTGGTAGTGAGCGGAAGGAGGATACAAACTTTTGCGAAGCCGAAGGCACTTCGCGGGAAGTTAGCCTTTAGTTATACTATAAGCTTGGCCTGTTTTTCGTCACCCAAGTCTGGTGAAACTCATTGTGTGCTTCATCTTCTCGATGCGTATAAGGCTGGGCCACTGAAACAAAGGCGACGGGGATTACGGAATGCGGGTTTCAAATCACGTATAAGGGATCATGTCACAAAAAAATGCTATAATTGCGAAGCAACTAACTAGGCTCCCTTATATTCCGTAGCCATGGCCGCCATGCATCAGGCACGGTCTGCATGCAATACCCGGGCCGCGATGTGGCTCGTGCAAGTATGGCAGCGGCGGGCCCAGAAGTCAAAATTATCCTGCTTACTGCTCAAGTTTCATCCCGGAGCATGTGACAAGGGTTTGTAGGCCTCATGCAAAGGCTTGGAAATAAGTGTTTGATTCAATCTAATAACTTGCTTTGGTGTCAAGGGCTTGGTTCTCTCGAGGTCCCTGGAGACAGAAAGGCCTCTATACAAAGCGGCGGTGAGCCTCAAGACCCCAGGCCACATTAAGGTTTCCAACTAGCCCCTTGAGCCTTTGCATAACTGTCGTCGGGTTCGAGGGTCGGTCCGTGCCGTGATGTTGTGATACCCGTGTGACAAACTTGGTATCAGCTGCTCGTGCCGTTGAATATGACAAAGAGGCTATGGAATCGACACGGATGCGAGTTCAAATTTCTGATTTCCAAGTCCCCTGTCAAAACAGCCGCAATGAATGACATGCGCGGCAATCGATTTGAGTTATTCAGCGTCTGCGGAAGACAAGGCACAAAGTCCCAACACCGCCGAAGAAACGACGGGATGGCGGCTGCGGACGCGATCCGAATCCCACTAGTGACTAGCCTGTGGAATCCTCGATTGCCGACCAGCATGGTACCTTGGTGTATCTTGGACAAGATGCCCGTCCTTGCGTCGTTATAATGCTACATCGTGTTCTTAGCGTGCGACTGGACGACATCTGGGTTGATATTCTAAACCAGCTGTGCTTGAAGACCCATTACGAATTCATTCATGAGCTGTACTCCGACAGAAGAAATAGGGACATTGTACCTGCCCATTTTGACGGATGGAGGCTCCTTCGGCGATAAAGTCAGTAGTTGAAGTACTGGGTAGGTAATCTCGTCTGAACATGTCTCAAAATTAGGTTTCGCCTACCTTTTCGACAACCACCAAAAATGACAAGACTGAGGCTAGGTTTATCTTCATGGGGATTTACAGGCTCATAGGAGAGGAAAATGGCCCGGAAGAACCGATTGATTACAGCATTCAACTCGTTACGCTTCCCGGCGAGAGAATGACTGGCAAAAATTCAATCTCGCCTTGATCAATGGGAGGGGGAGCCTCTCAAGTTTGAGCACAGAAAGTGCGCGGTGGTTCTTGATTACTTTGAGTCCTTTGATAACCCTCCTCGGCAAAAATCATCGACTTTTGGCGTAATATCCCAACCGATAGTCACCAGGGAAATACTTTTTCGGATATTTCTGGCTGGACTGGACAGTTGTGCAGCTGAGAGCGGAAGGGCTGGTCTATTTCTTAGTCTCTGTCAACGGAAATATAAGGGGGTATAGTTGCTGCTCAATTAAAGCGGCTTCTTTTTGTGAAGGACTGGTTGAGATGTCAAGAGCGAGGGGTATAGGCGACAGCACTCGAGACAATCGAGCTGGATTTTATCCTGCCCTGTCTTTCATTGAGGCCCATACCGCGAGGCAGCTGAGCTGCCCAGGTCGCCGGGCTGTGTGGCTACTCTACATCTTCGCCTGACTTGCCGCAGATGCCTCCGGTGACAACATGTCAGAGGGCAAATAGACACAGAGCCAGGATATGCTTACTTATAAGATGGATATCGGAATTTCCGGCGATTGGCCGATACTGCTGGATCTTTTTGCTCCATGACTCAGTGGTCTAACCCGATGACTACTCTGATACAGCACCTGGCAGGTTTGAGGAAAAGCCTGAAGATGCGCTCCCGCTCGTCTCTGGCTGGGTCGTGTATTAAGTGAAGGTGGATTTTTGGTGAATTTCTTCAAAAGGAAGGTGGTTAGAAAACAAGTGAAACGCCACGAGTTGGGCAAATCGTGGTGATGAGAGGATTGCGGCATTTCTGGTACAGCTTCCCTGAAGCATGAAGGAGGGCATGCCTTGAAACGATTCAAGGATACGATTTCGATTACAGGAAGGGGGGAGACTTAGCACAGCATGCGCTGCCAGCCTCGAGGAGATTCTCCACTTATGGTAGTGCAGCTGGCAGACCTATGCGCCAGCTGGCAGCATATTTGCGATTGACTTATTATCACGTTGACAGCTATGGAAGCAGATTAAAGAGTGGAATTGTCCTTGGGATTGAAGCTATCTAGGTACGGAGAACAGGCCCTTATTTATAGATATTAAGGTCGTCTAACAGGTCACCTAGAAAGTAATTAATTTAAGGGGTTCTACGATATCTAGCTATTAAAGGTTCGGCTTTAATAGGGTGGTAGCGTGAGCCTTCTTTTAAGGCTTTTCGTATAATTAAAAAGCAGTTATTTAAGGCGTTTTAGGGCTTATTAAGGTCCCTAATAAATAGCAGCTATTTTCTATTAAAAGGGGCCTTTAGCGTTAATACACCTCTATAAATTAGGTTAATAGCTAGCTATTAAAGCTATTAATAGCTATTAAGGTAAGCTAAATTAGTTAATTTAAGCTCTTTTAATAATACTAATAATATTAACGAGCCTTAATTACTTAATAAAGCGGTTAAATTATTAGTTTATTAGAATCTTTATTAATCTATTAGCTAGATTATTAGCGCTTTAAACGAATTTAATGTAAAAGGTCCCTTATTAATAGGCTTATTAAATCTAGCTATTATAAATATTAATATAATAAAGAGCGGTTTTAAGCCTTAAAAGATTACTATTAATAAGCTGAATCGTTTATAAATTATTACATTATATTATAGGCTTTAAACGGTTTAGCTATAAGTCTAGCTATTAGAAAAGCCTTAATATTATAATAGTCTCTTTAGCTGTGTATATAAAAGCTAATAATTTGGCTTTAATAGACGATATTATAACTGTATTTTACTTACTAGTTATTTAACTAATAGGTCTATTAAATAGTCGAATTATTAAGCCTTATAATAACTTTTAGGTTTATTAGTTATTTATAAAGGCGGTATTAGAAGCTATTTAAAGCTTTAGGTTATTATAACTTTCATTGAATTTAATTACTAGGTATTACGTTAAATACAAGTATTTAATAACTTAATTAGTAACTTATTAATAGATTTTTAATGAATTTAAGAGAAATTTAGCTAGCTTAGCTATTAAATTTAATGAATTTAGCCTTAATAAAAGGTTTTTTTATTAAAGATTATATCTTTAACCCGTTTAACTTTTAATTTTAATAGAATCTATATACGAAAGATATTAGTAGAGTTATATTTAATAAGGTAACGGATTTTTACGTGAGCTATTATCTTAAGAGCCCGTTTTTAAATGCCTTAAAGGGCTTTCTAGGTTATTAAATAGGCCCTATAGCCGTACGCGATTAAATATATAATATTAGGCCTATTTAAATAACTTATATCGCGATTATTTAATTAAAGCTACTATTAAAGCTATTAGAAGGGCGTCTTCTATTTCGTGCCTTATTATAGTAATAGATTATAAAGATAAATAGTAGCTTTCTAAATCTTAAGCTATAATTTAGCAGAAAGGTTAGCTACTAGTTATATTATATAAGCTTTTAACCCTAGAATACCTCTAAACCTTTTAGTAGGGCTATTTTAAGTGGGTGTATATAGTAATATAAGCTTAGTAATAATACCTTTATAGTTAATCTAGGCCTTATAAGCCGTTTAAAGGCTTTTATCGTTATCTTAATAGATTTAATAGATACTTAATTAATATTACCTTTAAATTTAAGCCTTAAATAATTAAAGGGCTAATAATAGGGTATCTTAAGTGGTATTTTTAAGCTTAAAGACTATTAAAAGGCCTAAGAATTTATCTTTAATTACTAGAGCTACTAACTTATTATTATAGCTAGGCTTAAATTAAAAGATATTAATGTAAATTCTTTAAAAGGGTCTTAGGCTTATTATTTAAGGGCTTTTACGAGAGATAACCCTTTTAGCCTTAACTTTAAAATAAGCTTTATAGTTAATTTATATAAGGCCTTAAATCTTTAACCTAATAGTCTATTAGACTAAATGTTTAAGGCTATTTGCGTTTAAGTAGCCTAGCTATTAGTGCTAGAGGTTAGAAGAGGCTATTTTCTAGGGTTAAGGTAACGTTAAATTAAATTAAAAGCTTTTAATTTAATGAATTTTATTGAATTTAATAATAAGCTACTTAAAGTAACGCCTTATATAAAAGATAACCTTATTATCCTTTAATATAGCTCTTATAGCTAGGTTTTAATTATAGCCCTTTTCTAGAAAGCTATTTAATAAGGCTATATTTATATAAAAGGTTAAAATAAAGGCTACTTACTTTAGCTAAAAGAGCCCTATCTATATTTATAAAGAGACCTTTTTATAGCCTTTAATTTAGAGCTTTATATCGCTTATAAAAGCTTTTTTAAGCTATTAAAGAACTTAATAATCGGTAAATTAATTAAGGTTATTACAGATATATGTGTTTAACCTAGAATCTAAGATAAAAGAGTCCCTTAAAGGGTAAATATTCTTATAGATTAACTAGATAGATAACGCAGCTACTTACTTCACGTGATTTAACCCGTGCTTTGGTTAGTTATAGCCTTTTTAATTGATTTAAGCGTTTTTAGCGTTTTCAGCGTTTTTAGGCCCTTTAAGCTGCCCTTATTTTTCGACCTTTTGAACCCTCTAATATCTAGACCTCTGTGGGCTTCGTTGTTCATCGATTTTCTGGGCTTCTGGTGCTCGCAGAAAGCGTTCATAAGCTTCTCTAATTTAGTGCTGTTAAGGCCTGGATTGCCCTGGCGCTCGCAGAAGGCCTTTATCTTGTAGAGGACCTTATTAATGAGGGCCTTTATTTTAAAGAACACCTCGTTATTATTGTCGTTAAGGGCCTTTAATTTAAAGAACACCTCGTTATTATTATTAAAGTTAGCCCGAAAACGCGATGCCTTTTATTTTCGGGTTTTCCTGCTACTTTTAATTAATTTAATTAGAAGCTTGTTAACGAGCTCAATTAACTTTCGCCTTAATAAACGGGTCTAATAGCTTCTATTAAATTTAAGCTTTAATTTTAGCGTTAGGCTTTTATATTAGATCTTTAAGAGGCTCGTTTAGGTATAGACACTTATAATAATAGTATTTTTAACTATAAAGGCACTTTAAAGCTATCTTTAACCTTTTTTATTAATTGTTTCTAGGTTAACTAAATACCTATTATATATTTAAGGTCTCTAATAATAATAGGCTTTCTTAGAAGGTAGAGAATAAAAAACCACTCTTACCTTTCGTAGCCTTTTAACGCTAGTAATACTATTTATATAGATTACTAATTTAAAAGCTATCTAAGACCTTATCTATTTAACCTTTCTTATTAAGGTTTAAAAGGTTTAAGATATAATTATTCTAGTAGCTTAAAAATACAGAGCTAATTAAGGCTATTATAGCTATAAAATCTAGGGTTAATTAAAGCTCTTTTATATTAAATAGGTTAATTTAACGAGCTTCTACTAGTATCTTTTACTAGCTTATAATTAATACCCTTTAATATTAATTTATATTTTAATAGAACCTCTCTTTTATATTCCTATAATATAAGTTATAATTAGGCTTATAGTAGCTTTAATTATCTTAAAACGCTATCTTTAATAGCTATTATATTATAATAACTACTAATAGTCTTTATAATAAATTATTAAGTAACTAAAAGGGCCTTTTAATGCCTTTAATAGGCTTAAATATTAACCTAATAGTTATTTATAAGAAATTTAAGCCTCTTAAATTAAACCTTATTAAGGTTTATAATTATTATAGCCTTAAGGTTAATATTACTAGGTTAGGGGTTTTTTAGAGAAATAATAGCTATCTTATTAAGCTATTAAGGGTTAATTAAATACTAAATACCTTAATTAGTAGCGTACTTCTTAACGATAAAAATCCATTAAAACTAGCTTTTTAAACCTATTAGGGTTACTAATAAAGGACCTTTAATATTTATAGCTAGGTTAGTTAAGTCTTTTATTAAAGACCTTAAATATATTATAATTTAACGTTAAAATATCTTAAATTTAGTGGTAAACTAGGCTTATAACTATCACGTTAACAGCTATAAAAGCAAATTAAAGAGTGAAATTATCCTTAAGATTAAAGCTATTTAAGTACGGAAAATAGGCCCTTATTTATAGATATTAAGGTCATCTAACAGGTCACCTAAAAAGTAATTAATTTAAGGGGTTCTACGGTATCCAGCTATTAAAGGTCCGGCTTTAATAGGGTGGTGGCGTGAGCCTTCTTTTAAGGCTTTTCGTACAATCGGAAAGCAGCTATTTAAGGCGTTTTGGGGCTTATCGGGGTCCCCGATAAATAGCAGCCATTTTCCATTGAAAGGGGCCTTTGGCGTTGATACTTATTCGACGCCGACTGCGTATGGGCAGGACAATCATGCTCTCTCAATACAGTACTATTCAACGTTTGCAGTCCACACGGATAAGCAGTGCGCAGCAATATGTGAAGTAGCTCATAACGCAAAATTAGCATATTAATTTTTAATTTATTTTTCATTCTTGAACCCATCTTCATATTCGTGCATCAGGCAGAGCCTAACTGCACAAACACCGTGCGCCTGGTCGAACTTGAATTAGAAAACTGTGACGTACCGACGGAAACAGCCTATAAGCGAAATTAGCATATGACATGAGATCTGACTAATTGCCCGGATAAAGCTGGCGCTTACCAATAGGCAATTTTTGCTCAGATTCCGTCCAATCTTGGAGAGTTTGTACCTTGCGATATTCCTAGTTAAGAGTAAAAGGAAACGATTCGTGGCACCATAATAAAACATGGGTGGATTGCTTTATAATGGGTTCACTTCTCTACAGGCGACAAAGGCTATGTGTGTGTATAACTCCCACGTGGAGAGTTCATCTATAGGATGCTCATCTCATCAGATGCCGTCGCCGCCCATGCCCATGTGCCATGTAAGGATAGAAGCATACGAAGCCATTACAGGTTTGACCCCAGTCCGGCATATACGCAATTTCACGGCTACCACTCGCGACATCAGCAGGGGCATAGATCCCAATGACATGACTGTTGGAGCCAAAGGCTGCGGGGACATGCATAGAACTGGATGCACGTATTTGCAAGTGCTCATACCGAAGGTCCCCCTCACAGGGATTCACGTCCCCCGCAAAAGAGCTCAATGTTGTCAACAGTCAATCGTACAAGGCCCGCAGAGGGCTGTGGATATACGAACTATACGGGCCCCTGACAGAAGCTTCCTCGTTGGGCCGTACGGGTGGTTGTCTTAGAAGTAAGTGCCCATCAGCCATGGGGTGGCCTCTACTTCTGAAAGGATGGGTGTCGAGTGTAGGCAGACTGGACACAGTGTTCAGGAAAGTGCCAATTCGGCGCAGTGTTCAAGACTAGCACGCACGCGGGCTGCTCGCAAACGAGACACTTGCCAAGTGCGTTGGTGAAGAGCATTCGAGTGCGGAAAGGACGGAAGCGATCGGAAATCCAACGGCAGTGGGTCCAAATGGTTGTGGCACAAGGATTCATGCGGCGAATTGTGGAGAAGGTGCGGCTGCGCAAAGCCAAGTCGCGATTCATTCATCTATCTTGCGCCCGAGACCAAGATGGCCGAGATCAGATAAGCTTGGCAGCGACCGCTGGGCATCCCACGAGCGCCGATTTCGAACACTGAAGTTGACTGAACCCGCTGGGCGTTGCCCGAAGAGGCCCATCTGCATGACGCGGCGGTGGAACCAGAGCGGAGGCCTTGTCAAGGCGTCGTCCAGCAATTGACTCGAAAGGCATGGATTCAAGCCCCCCCTATTGATAATTCCCCAGGATTATTCATGAGCCGCGCGCGTTGATGCGTGCAGGGGCCTGTATTGAAGACCCGGCAACCTGGTCGTCATTGAGGAATCATGGCATGAAATCGCCTTTGAGCTGGGACACTGGCGACTGGGCACAAGGCCGCCGGGTTCGGGTGAGTCAGCAAGCTTCACCAGACCGGACTATTTATCCAATCTCCTCATATGGGGCTCGCACAGACCGCGACAAAAACAAGGCACCATCGGCGACGGGCACTTCCGCTCACCTTGGCAGCTTCTTTCTTTGCTTCCAGAAGCTGCCCTGCCCCTCCTTGAACATGCAGAAACGTGGCACGGGCATCATATACGGGACTATGCGAGAACCGATTCATCAAACTTGTCGTCTACGCGTAGTGACAACACAGCATAGAGGGTTGCCAATGTGAAACCAGGCGCTCATACGACGGCCCCAAAACCCTGTTGGCGTAGCTAAATGTGCATGACGGCCACATGCCGGGCGCCACAATGTCGCCGAGGCGCAGTGCCACATCATGGCCCTTGGACTTGGTCGCGGTGGTTCCACCTACTTGAGGCTTATGCACTCAAAAATGAGCTTAATTTTTTCTCAATAGGGCCAAAACACGGCAATCTGCCGGGGACACCATGCAACCCAGGGACCCAGGGACTCCAAGAGACTCCAAGACTGGGCCAAGAGAGGCGGCGCACCCCGTCCACGTCAGAGAGCCGGCCACTCCGCCGGTAGCATATGCCGGGATGATTATTGTCAACGTTTTTCGTCCAAAGCGTTCTAGATTATTCCCATCAAGTGCATTGAATCGTTCTAGTTTGGATATATAAAGATGAACTGCCGCCCCCCCTATGTACCACAAACCCTTGGTCTTCACCACCGACAACTACTCCCAACTTCGCACCCTCTTTTCTTCAACTGTCATTTAGCAAGATATTCACTCTTTAAGTCTGCCTCGCAACATGCGCTCCGTACTCGCCACATCGCTCCTGCTGGGGCAGGCCCTCGCGGCATGCGTTGGCGGCCCAACCCGGGCCAGCGCCAATGCCGCCGTCGAGAGCCGCACAATCGAGCAGATCTACGAGGCCGCAAAGGCCGAAGGTGGCCAGGTCGTCCTCTGGCACGGCGGCGATGAAGCCAACCAAATGGACTTTATCAAGGACGCCTTTGAGAAGCGATTCCCCGGCATGAAGCTCAACATCACCGTCGACCTCTCCAAGTACCACGACGGAAGAATCGACCAGATCCTCAAGTCTGGCGGCCGCCCCCCGGTCGACAGCGTCTACCTCCAGACCGTTCACGACTTCCCCCGCTGGGCCAAGGAGGGCGCCCTGCTGGACTACGCGCCCCTGGGATACAACAAGATCCTCCCGGGCTTCAAGGACAACTCGTCGGCCTCGTGGTACGGCCTCGAGTTGCTGTTTTGGCAAAACGCATGGAACACCAAGAAGCTGCCCAACGCCAACTTCAACAACTTTGACGAGTTCCTCAAGCCCGAGTACAAGGACAAGCTGGTCCTGACGTACCCCAACGACGACGACGCCGTCCTCTTTGCCTTTGACCTGATGTAAGTCTTCTCCACCACACGAGAACCGTCAAGGCCTGCACAGCGCGCACTCTCAACTAACCCACGCGTCTTCTCCGTCTCCCAGCCTGCAAGCAAAGGGCGAGGCTTGGCTCGACAAGCTGCTTGCCCAGAATCCCACCTGGGTCCGCGGCACGGCCACCCCCCTCACCCTCATCTCCAAGGAGGACAGCCCCGTGGCCGCGACCTTCACCACCGCCGTCGGCTTCGCCAACGTGACCAACATCCGCACCGCCTTCCCCAGCGACGCCAAGTTCGTCTCGTGGGGCCAGAGGGGCGGCATCCTCAAGGACGCGCCGCACCCCGAGGGCGCCAAGCTGCTGGCCGCCTTTATGCTCTCCCCCGAGTTCCAGAAGGTGTACGGCTGGAGCGTCCGCGAGGACGTCCCGGCCCCGGCCGGCTTCCCCAAGGTCACGGAGATGAACAACACCAACCCCTTTACCTTTAACACCTGGATGGAGGACCGCCCCAACGTCGAGCGTCTCCGATTCTGGTTCGAGGACCGCCTCGGCACTGCCCAGGGCAAGAGCCCCTTGGTCGATGACATGTAGGGGCAGAGCGCCATCTGAGTGTGTGTTTTCTTGTTTGTCTTATTTGACTGAAGAGATTGCATTTGCTGTATTGTAGTCGGCCAGCGATATTTCTCTGGTTGGGTTAGCTGGCGTGGTACCTGGGACCTGGGTGGGCATGGCGCCCGTAGGCAGAGATTGAAATTCATCTACCGCTATTGTAAGCCGTGCGATATTCTTCGGATCAAATGTGAGGGTGTACACGTGGTCGTGGTGTGAAAATGTTCTAATTTGGTATACGCCTGATGGCTTTCTACGAGCTGCCACGGGAGTTGGCAAAGTGTCTGGGTAAAGACACAAGATGCTGATGCCAGCGAATTGTTGACCCAAGGGTAGGGAAAGCGGAGAGGGCCGGGCCTGAAGCTGCTGAATTTGAGCCTATTTTTGATATTATCCTCCGGGGACCGCTGGCGGCAGGATTCTGACGTGAAAACCACATGTGCGCATTTCACAAGGTTCACGATGCCATATGTGAGTAGCGCAGGCCACTTTTTTTTTTTTTTTTAATTTATTAGTAGGTAGAAGTATTTTCTATCAACTTATTTAGAAAAATCAAAAAAATCGGCTAGATGGAGGGCATCTAGTAACACTGTTTTTTTGCCGTACCTGGGCCGGGGAACCGTAAAGGACCACGACATACACCATGGGTGCGCGTATGGCGATGCGTCAGACGCTAGCAACTTGCGGCCTTGTATATACGTTGAATTAAAAAGTGAAGCTGGAGGCTGCAGCGTCATGCTACAACTGGCTTGCCCGCGATTCCATCAACATCGCAAAACTCGGGCAAAGCTCCGCTTTCGCCGCCTTGTGCCTCCGTGACACCCTGAAGCTACGGGTTGCTTAGTGAGAGCTCTGTGACTTGAGAGTATCTCTGCTGCAGGCGATGCAATGTCATTGTCCTGACTCCTGACCCGTCACAACTTGCCGCCACCCGCAGAATCATGTGGGGCTATTCGGTTGCATTGACAAAATGACTCGCCGGTGAAATTTATGCTAGCCTATAAATGATGGATTAAGGTTTACTTTTCCTAAAGTGGTAAGAGCCGCAGTCCCCGGATACAATGCATGATTTAATTTATATTGATGAGTTGAACATTGTGCTGCGGTGTCTGTGCACACATTGTCGTGGAAAAACGGAGAATGCATTTGGTCTACGGTGGCCCGTGTCAGACAAGGTTAATAGCAGGAATAACCCACTGAACCAAGTTGGCAGTCAGGGTTGTACGCAGGGTTGTCAACCGTTAAACAACAAATTTTATGGCGAAAAGAGAAAAACAGATGCTTGTTATTATAACGATAAAAGAACCCTGGACCTGGTTCCGGCCCACATGTTTCCTCTCGGGGGCTTTTTATGCTTCATCTTGCGCAGGAGAGTCATTAAAGTTTGATGCAACATGGGTACGTAAGCGAAGGGCCCAATTTGGATGCTCTCTACATGTCTTGTCTTGCCACGACGGTTATCGAGCTGGCCGTTGAGCCGTGGAACGAAAAGACGCAGCAATAGCCGCCCTTGACCGGATGTCCCTATGACAAGGGCTCAGTAGAGGGCGTAGAGTAATAACTCAACCCATATAATAACAGCCTTTGGCATCAAGGGTCGTTTGTTTTCTCAAAGCCCTTGAGACTAGAGGGTCTTTTTATATGAAGCGGCGGTCGGCCCTTGAGCCTTGGGGTCTCGTGAACCTAGGCCTTGTGTAATGTTCGTCTGACAATCTCCGATATCCGGATTGTGCCCCTTTTGGGCCCGACGTGTTTATATGGTTTGATTTTGACCAAGCTTTCGTTCAAAAACAATACTTACTTCCAAGAAGCCTCGAGCCGTTGAGATTGCATTCTAATAGCTATGATGCCTAATATGCAGGAGTACGCACCGTTGTCTACAGCATAGAATTTTTCCAACATCACCGCTGCAGCTAAAGTTCGGTTCCCGAGTACCCGTCAACTCCCGTCCTTTGCTCCCATTTTATTTCGCGGCGTTTAAATCTGCTAAATCAAGAAAATGAGCCACTGACATATTACGGGCGTTCCCCTCCCCTTTAAAAGTTCACAATGAGGTTGTCGACCCCCCATTTCAGATCCCCTGCAGTCGAGACGCGCGTGATATGATTGGATTATGAAGGGATGCAGGACGCTACCCCTTGGTTGGGTAGTTACCAACTTACCAAGGTTGACTGCTGGTTATCCCTCGCTATGCTTATGCACCCGATCCAAATGAGCTACGCAAGATCAAAATCTTGACCTTACTTAACCCAAGATGCCATTGTTTCAATGCAGGCACGGCAAATCGACCCAGCCGCTGCGCAGGTCGCGAGGCGCCACCTCAAACCAGATCATCGAGATACCTCCCGAGAAGATAACAGTGGCCTTACTTTGTGCCCTTGCCGAGGAATCCGTCGCAGTTAGGTACGGTCTGGACGAAAAGCTCAGCTGTACCTACAAAACCATCGGCCCCAAGAACTATGTATACTCGTTTGGCCGTATCGGTGATCACAATGTCGTCTTAGCTCGACCTAGCCAGATGGGCCCAATCTCAGCCGCCCTATGTGCAGCTACCGTCAATCAACAATTTCCAAATGTCCGATTTGCTCTGGTAGTCGGCATCGGAGCCGGCATTCCTGATGTCCCCAAACGCGACATTGGCTTAGGCGATATCTGTGATAGGGGCTTAGATATAAGGGCTTGGAACAAATTCGTATTCAGCTAATAATTCGCTTTGATATCAAAAGTCCTTGGTTTTCTCAAGACCTCAAGGGGCCGATGACCTTTATTTATACAAAACAGCGGTGAACAAGCGAGCCTGGAAGCCTAAGGCCTCAACTAGGTCTCGTGCCCTTATGTAACTATCGTCAGGTTCGAGAGTCGGCCCGTACTTCAATCCAACATGACCTCCGTGCAACAATATCGCTATCAGTATTCCCCGGGACGACCATCCGGCTATTCTTCAATACGATTTTGGCAAATATGAACGTGACGGCAAGTTCGTATTCAAAGGGACCCTTAACAAACCTCCCACGATTCTACTCAATGCAGATGGTCCGCTGGAAGAGGACGAGATGATGGGTGATAGCCCGCTCTTGGACATCTTGAAGGACACCACCAGGCATCCACGATTTGCACGACCGCCATGTGACGATTTCTTATTTGATTCAGCGTTTCACCATGCTGACAATGGAAATGATTGTAGCCAATGCATTGCACCGCATCGAAAGATTATCGTACCTCGCGCAGCATTGCTGTGACAAGGGCTCGTTAGAGAGCTTGAAGCAAAAGGGCTCAATTCAATGATAATCTTGTAGGATGTCAAAGGTCCTTGGTCCCCCCCTCGCCTCACGGCTTGGGTAAGACCATCTTATATACATGAAAGGAACGGCCCGTGTACGGTGGCATATTAGCTAAGGTCCGCAGTTGCTGCTATAACCTCACATCTAATATTTTAAGCGATTTTAATAGTTTAAGTGGTTTAAGTAATTTAAGCTATATATATAAAGTTAATCTTTACTTTATTAATTCTTTTATATAAAGAAATTAATTATTAACTTAAAATATTATAAGAAAATATTAATTATTATTTTAAATTAAATAAAACTATTATTTAATATCTTTACTTTAAGTTAAGTAACTTT